CCCCCCCGGCTGCGGCCTCTGCCCCAGGAAGGCACGTTCATGACAGCGTGCGGGCTGTTCGCCAGGCACCGGCGAGGCTGCACACAGGCCTGTTCACTCACAGGGAAGCCACAGGAAAGAGCTGTTGTCCCCATTTTATAGACACGGAAGCCGAGGCCCCAGGGTTGAGTTGCGCGTGGAGGTAGCAGGATCGCAAGTGGGTCTGTCTGACTCCAAAGCCAAGCCGTAAAGTGGGCTGACCCCAGGGCAGACTGCCCGAGGGCCTGTCCCAGGCGGCCCTCCCATGGCCAGGGCCCGGGCTTGCCTCCTCCACATCACGGCAGAGCGCACAGTAGGCCCGCCCCCACCCCGCCAGGTCTGAGTGCAGAGCTTGGGGGCTGGGCATCGGGACAGCCTGTCCCAGAGCCAGCAGGGGCATCTCGGGTCCAGGGGGTCCAGCTCCCAGAGCCCTAGGTCCTCAGGGCAGTCCTGGCGGCTGTCGGAAGCTGCCCTCCGTGGTCCTTCCCCACCTCCCCCATCACCTCTCTCTCTTAATTAACACCGGCTGCAAATGAGCTGGCTCCCGCTCTGAGGGCTCCGTGCCAAATGGGTTGGCAGGGAGCCTTGAAGGGGCAGGAGGGGAGGGGGCACCGACCTGCCGCTCTGCAGGCCTCTGTCGGAAGGCGATGCCAACCCCACCTTGTGCGACCCTGCCCAGGAGAGGGAACTGGGGTGACTGATGTCCACCGGGCCAGGAGTGTCCAGGGGCCGAGGAGGCGGGCCTGGGCCAGAGGAAGGCTTTCCCCAGGCTGAGCCGGGGGAGGGCAGCCAGGTGGCATTACCTGCCACAGGTGGGGCGGACTTGGGCTGCACAGAGGACTGGTCACCGTCCTGTCCCAGCTCAGCAGGGGTCCTAGGAGGCTGGCCTGCAGGGCCCTTGCCCAGCCCACACACTCAGCCGTCCCGGTGGGGGCGCGGGGGAAGGGCAGCGACCCTGCGGTCCTCCCCTGCTCTCGCCCTGGCCCGCCTCTGGCTCTGTCCCAGGTACCTGGCCGCCTGGCCACCCGGAATGCCCATAGGCTGACCAAGGTCTCAGCTGGGCCAGATCCCCGGGCAAATGGCCTGGGGGTTTGGGGAGGATGCTGACAAAGGGGGGGCACTGCCAAAGACACCAACAGCCTCTCACACCCGAAGCAGGTGGTCCCAGGCCTTCCTGCTCCCAGGCCAGGGCTGGCTCTCCCACCTTCCCCACCCGACGCCGGCCTTGCGTCTCCAGCTCCTGCCCCTTCCGCTGGCCGCCCTTCATGCCCTCAGTTTGGCTTCAGGCTCCAATCACCACGGGGATCAGCCCATTTCTCAGGTGAGGAAACGAGGCTCGCAGAGGGAGTGGGGAGTGGGGAAGGGACTGGAACAGGACAGTTGGTTGTTGGCACCCATTTCCTTCACCCCTGTTCCCTCCCTGAGCCTGAAGGGTTCCTGACACCTTCTCACTGAGCCTGGTGATGGCTGAGCCGCCAGCGAGGGGTGTGGGGATGAGCCCTGGATTCCAGTCTGAGCCGGGGCTCCCGACCTGCCCCTGCCCCAGGGACCCACACCTGCCCCAGCCAAGCAGGGCTCTGTGAGCTCCGGAGGGGCTGGGCGAGCTGGGCCTAGGCCTCCCCCTGGGGCCTAGGGACGGGGATGAGGCTTAGTCTGGCTTTGCAGGGGGTGTAGGTTCCTGGGACACAGGGGGCACCCTGGGGGCTGGGGTGCAGGTCTGGCAGCTGCCAG